TTACAAAATCAAGAGCCACTTTAGACTTTGATAACCATACCTTAAAAATTAAATACTCAGGAAGGAAAGCTACTATTTACACAACTCATGTTAGTGGAGAACCAGTACCTGATGAATTTGAAGAATTCACAGATGAAGACGAATGGATTGATGAAATTGAAGAACAAGATGAAGCTGAAACTTATCATACAGAAGAAGAAGACCAAGATGATGAAGCTCTATTTTACAATCCTTGGGCTGATGTTATCTCTGATAAAAACCTTGCAGTATATGTTGTTTAACTGCTAAAGTCCCTACAACTCCTTTCTTAACTATTAATCCTTCTCTAAGTAAGAACCAAAAGGAAAAGGCTGAAGAAACCCTTGTAAACAACTATCAGCTTTTTGCAGAAAATATTTCAGAAGAAAGACAAACTTTAGAATTTGAACAAACTAAAGAAGTCTGCCATAAAATTAATACACCAGATGCTAAACCAATTAACCAACAACATCACTAGATGATCTAGAATACTTGGAAAAAAAAATTAAAGAAATGGAAGAATATGGAATTATCTGATAATCAAACAGTCCATATTCTTCACCAGTGGTTATTGTAACTAAAAAGAATGGAAACGCCGAATCTGTATTGACTACCAAAAGTTAAATGCAGTTACAACAAAAGATGTATATCCTCTTTCTGATATTAATGAGATTTTATCTGTCTTCGAAGAAGCTTAATAGTTTACAAGCCTGGATCTAGCCAGTGGATATTGGCAAGTTGCTGTTTGAGAAGAAGATAAAAAGAAAATAGCTTTTATTACTCGGCATAGAACATATAAGTTTAATGTTATGCCTTTTGGGTTGTATAATACACTAGCTACTTTTCAGCATTTAATGGATAAAATATTATGTCCATTTATTAATAAGTTCTTAGTTGTATATTTAGATGATATTATTATCTATTCAAAAACATTTAAAGAACTTTGTTCTCATTTACAACTAGTTTTTAACAAACTTGCAGAAGCTAATCTCAAACTAAATATTGAAAAATGTTCATTCTTCTTAAACGAACTCAAATTTCTAGGACATATTATAGGAAAAGATAGAGTAAAGCCTGTTGAAGAAAAGATTGAAAAAGTTAAAAACTTTCTAACACCTACTACTGTCTGTCAAATTAGAAGTTTTTTTGAATTAGCCTCATACTATAGAAAATTTATAAAAGAATTTTCTAAAATTTCCAAACCTTTGAACACTCTTTTACAAAAAGACTAACCATATCATTGGGGAGAAAAATAAGAAGAAGCTTTTCAGACCTTAAAGAAATGTCTTATTACTGCACCAATCTTACAATACCCTAATTTTAGTAAACTATTCTATATTCATACTGATGCTTCACGAACTGGTCTTGGAGCTGTATTAGTACAAATCAATAAACAAAAAAGAGAGCATATAATTATATATGCTAGTAGAAGCCTCTCTAAACTAAAACAAAACTACTCTGCTACAGAATTAGAATGCCTTGCTATAGTATGGGCAGTTGAACATTTTACCAGTATATAGGAAGAAACCACTTTATTTAATAACTGATCATGCTGCCTTGAAATGGTTAAGAACTACCAAACTAGTAGAAAAATGAGCAAGATGGATTATGCGACTAGAACCTTACAATTTTACTATAATCCATAGAGCT